TGGCGAGTTACATGTGCTTATCTGTATTTTTCAGAATTCATAAGCTAACCATTGATGATGTAACCCCAGAAGATGAAGCTGACTATTCTTTCATCCCTGAGGGATTTGCTTACAACCTTTCCGCCAAACTTCAGTTTTTGGGTGACTGTTAGAATCTGTTTATTAATATTTAACAGGAATAGCACAGGCCTGATAAATACAAAATTATCCTTACTACTTGAGTGAGCCATCAAAATAAAACACTGCATCAGGAAACAGCATCAGGATTACCTTTCCCAGTGCCAGAACACCAGGCACAACATGGAGACTGTTTGTAACAGTGCATCATAATTATCACTGGTACTGAGGTAGAGCTCACAGTGTGCTTGGCACTTTCTAAATTCATGGAAAGACTAGATGCCTTGACAGTCTAAAAACCCAACCCTGTGGACACGTGTATGTCATCCCATAGTTGTTAGTGACGTGGCTCATACAGCCCTTACTTAGACCTTTGCACAGATCTTTCTCTTCTGCACAGAAAAGTAGTGAGGGCCAGACCTCTACACAGGCCTTCCTGCGGTCCAGTATCTATGTTGGGGGGAAATAGTTAACAAAATTGTAGGGAATGGAATGAGCAGGTGAGGTGGTTCATTTTCCCCATTAGAGATTCCCAGGAAAAGATAGTAAAATCAAGGCCACAGAGTTCACATTAGGTGTTTCCCTGACAATTCCAGCTAGGCAGCTGATACACAGATGACCATAACTTTCCATGTATCCTTCTAGTTTGCATCAAGTTTTATAGCATGTCCTGTAGGCTTTTTCAATGAGTGAAAGATCTCAGCTAGATAATGGGTTGAAATCATCTTAAGAGAATCTTTGCAAATAATTCCTTTGCCAGAGCTCCTTCCAAAAGGGTTTAAACTAGGAGGGGAAGACTTAGACAAAAAGATAGTTTACATGAGTAAATTTACATGCATAAAATTGTGTTTGTTTGTACCTCCAAATTATTACACAATTCATCTGTTGATTTACAGCCACTGAGAGGTTATCTATTTAAAACTATTTTCAGTGTGCAGGCTATGTGAGACTTTCAGATCCATTCTTAGCTTTCTGTTTTTCCTTCTTTCCAGAGATCAAGATTGATTTTGTGCCAAGAGAAGGTAAGACTAAGGTTCATTTCTGCACACGTGACTAAAACCTGAGCAAGTCACCTTGAGGTTTTTCACACATTAGCAGGGGTATAGAACCTCTTTAATACAACAGCTAAGAAACCATCCTCTTTTCATATAAACGCTCAAATTACATTGATTTATTTTCTCTGCTTTTGCTACAGAACCCCCTAAAATCCATTTGGACTGCATGGGTCAGTCTCCTGACACTATTGTTGTGGTGGCTGGGAATAAGCTGAGACTGGACGTTCCCATTTCAGGAGACCCAATACCCACTGTAATTTGGCAGAAAGTAAACAAGGTAATGTGCAGTCTGAAAAAGTGGCTAAGGAAAAGCGATCGTAAGAGGTTATTTCTTTTTCTGTTTTTAAATCAGATTCTAATTCTCAGTTCTGAGGTTTAACTTTCCCACATCTCTTCAAAAATAGAGCTTAAAAAGGAATAGAAAAAATAAGACTAAAGTAGGAGCAAATCACACCTAGTGATGTAACAATTGCTGCTGTAGTCACGTTGAGTTGTGATCCTCTGAAGTGTCTATTTTCAGCAGAGCAAAAGAGAGGAAGCATGGGTGGTAGTCTGTCCACCTGTATATCACCATACAACCAGCATGTGTTATAAGTAAGCTGTCAGCACTAGTTCATTTTCTTCCCACTGCACAGGAAATAAGGAAGCCATGGACATCTGCCCTTTAAAACAACTTTGTTCCAGAGGAAGGAAGAGTTCTGTAGGCTGCACTGTTGTTCTTTCCTATCAAAGGATCCTTCTCATCACAGTTTGCAAACAAATGGCCCTCCCAATATCATAGTGGATTAACTTGTAAGGAGTAGACTCATGTGTGCAAGGGGACAGTTTTGTTGGGTATGCTATAAATTTAGACTTTGTGAATTTAGAGAGTGTCTACTACCTGTCCTATTAGCACGATTGTAGGAAGTCAAAGAAAGACTAAAAAGGCATCGTACAGAGTCCTGAGAGAGCTCCCCCCTCTTCATAGTTTCATAGTTGGTAGGGTCGGAAGGGACCTGAGCAGATCATCAATTCCGACCCCCTGCCATGGCAGGAAAGAGTATTTGGGTCAAACGACCCCAGCAAGGTGTTTATCCAGCCTCCTTTTAAAGACCCCCAGGGTAGGAGCCAGCACCACTTCTCTTGGAAGTTGGTTCCAGATCCTAGCCGCCCTGACCATGAAGTAGCACTTCCTGATGTCTAGTCTGAATCTACCTCCTGCCGGCTTGTGACCGTTATTTCTAGTCACACCTGGTAGTGCTCTGGGGAACAGGGACTCCCCCAATGCCTGCTGGTCCCCCCTGACTAGCTTGTAAATGGCCACTAGATCCCCCCTCAGCCTCCTCTTGTAGAGGCTGAACAGGTTCAGGTCCCTTAGCCTCTCCTCGTAGGGCCTGCCCTGCTGACCCCTGATCATGCGGGTGGCCCTCCTCTGGACCTTCTCCATGTTGTCCAGATGATTCTGCCTTGAGCAGGGGCTGGACTACATGACCTCATGAGCAGGGATCCTGATTTTCTCTCATAACAAATTGCAAATTCTCTGATTTAAAACCCCACAAATCTGTGATTTAAAATGAAAGGCCTCCACAGCCCCCCACCACATCTGCTCCCCCAGCCCTGCAGGAGGGGTCTCCTAGCTGCCAGCGCTATGGAGCCAGGAACCTGAGTCTGCAGCACCCTTCCCCTGGCACATGAACAACGTATGCCCCCAGCGGCTGCGGGGGCACAGTGGTGGTGGTGGGAGCACAGCAGCAGGAAGGGGGGGCCCCCGCCCATGCCACCCGTGCCGTGGGGGGAGGGG